CCCCCCCCCCCCCCCCCCCCCCCTCCCACACACACACACACACACACTCCCTCTTCACACACACGCATTTATGTCACTGCACTGGAGATCGGGCGCAAGCATTAAATTAAGGCAAAAACGAGGAGGAGCCCATCTGAAGGTTCCGTTGTGATCTTTATTAATAATGAAATTAAAGCGAGGCTTGTGAAAGAAAAGCGTCAAAGAAATATAAAAGAGTCCTTTTGAAGCGTAAAGTAGCGAGGTCAAAGGCCATGCTTGGGATATACACATTCTCTCAGTTTGATTTTCAGTCATTTGTGTTATTTCATTCCTGAAAACAATTAAAGAGCAATGGGAAATAATTGTCTTCATCCTGCCTTGGTTTGCCTTAATAACTCACCTTTATTTCAAAATATATGGAATATAGGAAACTGTTTGATTCAAGAAGACTTTCATTTCGCCTAAACCGACCTGCAGGACAAGATTGTTTGCTCATTTTCAATAACTGTTTTGATCTGCAGCTTCTAAACACACTCAGACCTGAATCGAGGCCTCCATTTGTTACGCTATAGGTTAAAAAAAGAAGTCTTTTTTGGCGAGGGGGGTAAAGGGGGTCAGGGAGCTTTAACTTGGTGACAAAGCCTCATTTGCAGGTCAATGCGATGGCACACTCGCCTCTCCTCTCCATCCAGCTCGCCTTTGTTCCCCGTCGCCTGCGCCGATGCCAGATGGTCATGGAAAATGCTAATTCCTCTTGGCTGATTTTCCTCCTTTCTATATTTAATTGCAGCCTCCGCAGACTCTCCTGTTAATTGCTGGTTCTGAGAGGAAAATGCGATTTAGGCTTGTTGTTGTTTTTTCTCTGAAATTATATTTTTTGTTGATAGATTTGCATGAAGCCCCAAAGCCACTGTATGTCAAAGTGGCTGCATGTAAGCCATTTTCCCATAAAGGAGCAACAATTTGGAGGACGCAGTGACGCATTTTACTGAGAACTGGGAAGATTTTATTAGCAGTCAATGTGATTCAGGAAGACAGAAATAACAAACTCTGCAAAGGCAAGTGCAGGGGACGCACTGTTCCTGCATTTCAATTTATTTTAAGATCCATTTCCTTTATTTAACTTAACTCATCACGTATTTTATCACTGTGATAAATAAAGATCGAATTGACTCGGATTTACATGTATTCCTTTCTCTTTGGTAAATGCACGTTTTTGTCACTTAGTTTCAAAGTAGAATATAAGAAATAAAAACGGAATACTGCATTATTTGTAAATCTTGCAACGTAGATTTAAATTTGATCTAATTGAAATGAATGATATCCGGATATAAAGTATGGTTCTTTTAACGAAAGAAATAGTTGAAACATTTTTGGTGTTCACATTCATCTGGTTATTTTTTCAGGATGATAACAGATTAAAAAGTCCACTTCCTTTATTTTGATGTCATTGAAAACAGCATAACTCAGATATGCTACATATGTCACCGCCTATACATCATTTTTAAGGACATTTGATCATGGTTTCACTGATGACTGAGAAAAATGAAACCGAGTTAAAGGTCAGATGGGAGACTACAGGGTTCATGAGGCTGATTCTCTCCATCAGCAGCTGGTTGTTTAATTGTATTCTATTGCAGTGGGCTTGTTAATGAGGTCTATATGTTAGCTGTCATCTCTTTCCTTTATTTCCATCATACAGCAGGGCTGAATTGAGTTATAATTGTCATGCAACATATTCTGTGTCCATTTAAACTGTAAAAAATCCATCAGGGCATAAAATATTAAAGCTTTGGGATAGAAGCTCCTATTCCTTGAGACAAATCTCCCTTATTATGCATGACAGTCTAATTAAAATGATTTACTGTTTAAAACACAATGTGTTTTTTATCCTGAAAGAAGCTCACATGAGTTGAATTTCAGGCCTTAACCTATGACCTCTGCTGCAATGGCTCAAATTCAATACCTTTTTGAGGGAGCGAACTCGATTTAAAGTTCTATTTATGGGGACAAATTTTATATAGTTGCACAGCTGTAGATACAAATAAAGCCAGATGACCCTTTTAACTCTGAGGGGGGACTTGAGCCCTTGAATGTGTCCAGTCTCCAAGGTAGTGGGGACTTCATTAAAGTAACACACGAACAGCTGTTGTCTTTAACATGTAAACTATTGAGAATTTAAAACTACACTGAATGGCCTCGCCGCTCCCCGTGGGCATATGGGCGTTAATTAGCTGGATATAGCCATAGATTAATTATAATATTTTTTTCGCCCATTCGTATCAATAGAGCAGCCAGACAAAGTGTCTTTTGTTCTCTGATGCAGGACATTCTGTGGCTGACTGAATGGGTCTTGGCTATGTCTACATGGATTTGCCATATGGCAACAAAAAGGAAAGAATGGAGCTGCAGAGCGCTTTGTGTTGGAAATCAGAACAAGCCCGTCAGAGCTTATGGCTGCATGGAGCTGACAAAGTCACCCTGGCCATCAAAAGTCTCCATTTTCATCACAACATTAATGTCAGATAGTCAAAGCAATTCAAACAAATGGAGAAACGTACAGAAAATTATGAAATGTGCCTTTTGTTTCCTGCGCACTACACTGACAGGCCGCTATGCGCACGGCGCCCGCGCGTATTTAGACGCTGCTTCATTTTGGCTTCTTTCAATTAAGGGTAAACTTGCAAGTATGACCTGTTGAATGGTTTGTTTCAATAGAAGAGGACAATTACAAAGACTAGTAGTTCTCTTTTTCCAGCTCTGGCAGGTGGCCTCCACGCCCGGTGTATCCACGGCGGGGTAAACTGTGTGTGTGTGTGTGTGTGTGTGTGAGTGGGTCTTTAGAGGGCTTGTTGAGTGCGGGTGGATGTGGGGGTGTCTTCATGGCGGACAAAGCGGGGATCCAAAGGCAGCTGCTGCTTCTTTAGAGGGGCGAAAGGGCCTTTAAATCCCAGCCTATATTCCGCAGCTGCCATGCGGCCCAATGCTGCACGTCTGAATGCGTTTTGCCCCCGCAAGGTATATGAGCCCGCAGAGGCAGACAGATACAGGCGGAGCTCAATTAAAAGTAATGTACCTGCGCCCCCCCTCCCCCGGGGGGAGTCGGGGAGTCATAAACGTCTGCGATAACGCTGCGTGGATTCTTGGTGGTGTTTCTTGTGCTTTCCTCGCAGCAATACTTGTGTGAAATATAATAAATCATCTTTATAATTGCTGCCAAGTAGGCTATATAATGAAAGCTGCTGGTTTTGTTCTAGATTAAAAACAAAAACCACAGAAGCCAGACAACACAACAAGTCTCTTTTCTCAGTTTCAAGACTAGTTTTACTTCAAAACACACAGAGCAAAAACAATAAAGTTACCAAGACAAAGCACACCAACAAATCGGCTTAATGTTGAAGTGAAGAATATTTTATTCTTATCTTTTTACAAGACATAATTAGGGCACTTGTATGCAAACACAAAGAAACGGCTCAGAAACACAAAGAAACCTATGTTTTTTTCAAGTGTTGACTACTAAGCTACATGATTGCAAAACATCACAACAACACAAAATGGAAATAATAAAATAAAAACATGCCCTTTGGCTAAATCAACAAGGCATTTGAACAAATATAAAGAAACATAAATAAATTATAAGTTAGAATAGACTTATTAAAATATACATATACAGAAAAAAAACAGAACAGAAATAAACAATTATAGGCTGTTGTCTCTATAAAGCTGTACACTTTTGGCCAGTGTAGACAATTCTTTTTAAAGTAATTTAGGATTGCACAGATGTTAAAACATTTAACACTGTCGAGTGGCTGTATGCAAAAGCAACAATGGATGCTACATTTGTACTGGATAGAAGTCATTCGGTTGACATGTCCTCTCTTTTCCTCTCCCCTTCCTCCCCCAAACCGTTTCAGTCCTGAGAGTTTGGTCCCGAGTGTTCAGGCTGCGCTCCGCCGAGGCGCACCGAGCCGAAGCAACCGGCCGGTCGGGCTTATGTCTCCCACACCGTCCCCCGTTTTCTCCTCTCTTGCGTTGAAGAAGCAGGGAGAAAAACATCCTCGTCTTGATCCTCCAAAAAAATGCGCAGGCAAATAGTGCAAAAAAAAAAAAAAGAAACACCTGGGAGAAAATAATTGAAACACGGTCAGTTTTTTTCTGTCGGTCCAAAGAAAGACGCGAGTCAGCTCTCCGAGGAAACCGGAGATGGAACCTCAGCGGCGGGCGTCACCCTTTACACGAGACTTTCCCGCCACATCGTGACGCACATCACCCTCCCCCATCCACTGGTGTTACTACAGCTACTACTATCACTACTACTGCGATTTCGCCACAACAATCTCCCCCACCCCCTCCCAGATAAGACTGCCTGCCTTCCTGCGCTTTTTTTTTTTTTTGCTTTTTTCTTTTTTTTTTTTGGGCTCACGTAATCATTACCAATTAACGCAGGAAAAACAAAAACAGAAATAACAGATTATAAAACAGCCGTAGACTTTAAACCGAGTCTTAATAATTAACAGTTGTATCGTCTGAGGTGTCACAAGACCCCGACCCGATTTAACGACTTGACAACGGTGTTAACAGTTTGGAAAATACGAGAAATCTTCATACCTTCAACGGATCCTCTTTCGTGGAGTTTGTTCCACCGGGATTGGAGACTTGGAGTGGTGGCAAGCGCTCGTTTCATTCGACTTTTTATCAGCAGCCCTCTTTCGTTTCACGAAGAAGTCTGTGGGAAACGAAGAAATGAAAACCATTAATACACAAAAATCCACTTGAGGAGGAGAGCGACGCGCATCATTTGGATACAGAGCGCAGCCCTGAAGCCCAGAGCGCAAACACCCTAAGCAGGGAGGTTTTTAAAGGGTCGTGTATTTACCTGTGATGTGTGTATTGTTGTTGTCAGCAACGGCCGTTATCTTGCGTCTAACACACGGGACTTGTCTGTGAGCTGGCCTCCCTGAGTTGAGCTTGTCTGTGCGGTTCTCCTGGTTAACCTCCACCGGGCACGGAGCGCCGCTGCTCTCGGGCACGGCCCAGCGCTCCAGTACATCCATATCAGGGGTCTCCGGGAGAACAGAGTCCGAGGAGGGCCTCTGCTTGACGGGTGTCTCGGCTACCCTGGTCCTGCCGTTCTGTACAGAGTCCTGATAAAACACCGGGGTCGTATCCACGGGCACCTCTTCCCACTCGTAATCCCCGACCAACGGGGTGTTGGCCTCGAAATTAAAGTTCCATCTCTGCTGGTCCCGTTCAGAAATCTCCCGCTGCTTGTCTTTCATCTCCCGGCTCAGTTCGTCGTGATCCACCGGTCCGAAGAGGTTGCGGCAGACGCTCGTGCGTCTGTGGAGAGGGAAGGTCCTCCTGGCCACCAGCCTCTCCAGCGCGCTGCACGATAACTGGACGTTCGACATCTCCAAGATCTTGCCAACGAAAGCAGCAAAACACAGATTAAGATGCCCTATTTGGCTGACCGATCCCCGATGAGAGAGTATCAGCTGTTGTTGTTTTGTTGTGCCTTAAGTGCGCGTCTATTTCTCCACTCTCGTCTCCGCCACAGATTTCGGTTTAAATGTACCTTCTCGGTGGGACGTGAAGTATATAACCTACCGACAAATCCTCTGTCAGCGCAGCCACCTCGGGAGACCATTTTATTGGTTGGTCTTAAGCCCAACCCTCTCCCAACGAAACCCTCAACTCCCACCCTGATTTCCCGTCGGCCCCCGGTGCCCACTTGGCTGTGCGCCGAGCAGAGCGCAGCGATTTAGTTTCTCCTCCCGGAGAGTCAACCCTCTGACAACACTGAGCGGACTCGATGTCAGCGTCAAACTGATGGAGCTACATTTTTTGGATCACATTTTTACTTTCACAAGCAGCTGCTGGTTGTGCATCGATTATCGGACTTTATTTTTGCACTATTGGACTAACAGGAGATCGATCCTCTTACGTTACATTAAAGCATTTATCGGTTGTTTAACCACTTTGCAAATCGCGATCATTGTGTGTTTTATTTTTTATTTTTATGTGCTAATAGAATATAAACAACTGTAAAGGAAACATAATCTCGCTGGTCACATTATCTGTCTGATATTGACCCCTTAACGTTTCTCCATGTAGTACATATCGCCTATAGTCACTCACAACACACACTCCCCTCTTATCTCTCTCATCACAATAACACTATACGAGCTCCTCGGGTCAGACATCTTCAGCAGAATTGTTCTTCAGATAAAATTACTTTATTTTTCGAATTGATCACACCCCTTTGTGTTTTAAATAGATTATTGTATTTCAAGTTAATTGGCGAATTTAAATTAAAAGTAAGATTATGCGTAAAAATGCAGCCATGGCACAATCCGGCTGTCACCACTGATGTGTTCGCGTGGAGGATAAATATTGGTTGGTGGCAACAGATTATTCAGTATCGGTCATGCAACAATATGGATTTAGTTAATTGTGGTGTGAAATAAGCCTCCTATACGTGTCCTTGATATCAGAACAATTGATAACTTGGAGTGTCTGCAGTCTCCAGTCAGTCAGGACAGGCAGACAACGCCTTAGTAGTGGACAATAGTGCACAGTGACCCTCAGTGGCAAAAGCGCGGTACTGCACCATGAGCTCGTTAAACGTGCAAAAGCAGCAGCAGGGGAATGAGTGAGCTTAACGGCTCAATAACGCACCGTTTACAGACACCTTCTTGTGACACCATGATGTCACATTCGACATGTGAGAGTTGCCGAAGTCACATGATTTTAATTTGAGAGGCCACCCGGGGAGGCGCGTCAGGACGGCATTGTATGCAGCAGTGTGCCTAAAATGATTCACTCGTTAAAAGGTCAGGTGCTCTCTGAGAGTGACGTCCCTTCATCCACGTGATGTTCGGTCCCCACGGGTTGGACACGTGATTCAGCTGTAGTGATGCTGCAGATGAATCTGCTTTTAAGTTGTAAGCAGCACATGGGCACAAAGGACACATATGAGTGATCAATAATGAGTATTGTTTTATTGATTGAATTGGAAACATATTCTCTGCCTAAAATCAATGAGTGAGGACGGACAATACACTAAAAGGCTATTTGGTTATTGTGGCATATTACAATAAGACTTTTGGGGGAATATTGGTCCTTATGCAGCTCATCTGGTTTGATTTTTTCACGTCTTTTAAATAAATGTGACACATTTACATTGTTGCTGTTTTTTGAATCTAGAAAATGACAAGATCAAAATGGTTGGCCTCTTAAGTTGAGCTATGATTAATGCCCCACCTACCTAGTGATCATTCATCATTTTGGCCCTGATCATGATCATGAAACAAAAACATTCCCTCTCTCTGATCAAAGCAGGCAGGAATCTCTATGTGTTGTTTGTTGGCTCCCTCTAGTGGTGAAAGGTGAGCACAGAAATGTGACATTTTTTATTAGCCTATTTCAAAGCAGTATATGTATGGAGAGAGAGCAAGTTGTATCTCACAAATTATTAATTAAAGTGCCCACTTTTGATCTTATTAATATTCCTTGTAATTAACAACGTGTATTACAGGCCATGATGATTTACAGAACCTCAGTCCGTCAGTCTGATCACAAGTATGCTTTTGTTCTGACATCAAACTATCCCCGAAGAGAAAATGATCTGACTTTTCACATCTCATTACTCAGTTTCAAACGGGTCACAAATTTACTTTGAAAAGTTGGAGTAGGACTTCTATTCCTCAGGCGCACCCTCAAACAGATATGATCAGCTAACGTTTTTAAAGGCCGTTATAATGCAGGGAGAACGTCTGTATTAGTTATCTTTCAAAGGGAGGGTAATCTCATAGCTTTCATCGCGGCAGCAAGAACGATCAGACCACTAGTGTGATGTCCTCCAGCCTGATTCTCTCTGACATATGCAGCAGTATGATTCTTTTATCTCTAAACTTACACACACACACACATATACTTCAACTGGCTTAACTTGCTCTTTGACGGAAATGGAATACCCAGAGGGCTAAATGCAAAGTTAAAAAGATCCAGGCTCTACAGACGCGTATGTCGATAGCAGACGGACACCAAAAACAGGTTTGGACTGAGTTTATTTGAAGGTAAAGTCCGAGAAGAGGTCTGAATGTGCTGCAGCTACTGTCAAAAGACTTTCTACATGTTTTCCTCGCCTGCTGTTAAAACACAGTCAACTTCAAGAGAAGTGGTGTTGCATGCTGTGAATGAATGTGACCATTTCTCTGCTAACCACTACTCACCTGAAGAAACTCATCCTTCAGATGTTAAAGAGGGGCTGTAGGCATCACCACAGGCCCCCTTCAGAAGGAGGATAAATGGTAATTTGACCCCACAACCACATGCGACACCTTTTCAATAGTGTTCTCTGCCTGCTGCCTTTAAGTTTGAAGCTGCCCATTGTTTGGCACACCCAGCTGGAGTGATTTCCTGGATGAGTTACCCGCTGTTTCCTACCAAATGATCCACTCTGCCAAATTATGCGTGTATTTCAGTAATCTCATTAGAACTTTCAGTAACAGATCCTTTCACAGCAAAGAGTTACACTAATACGTGATTCTTTCATTACGTCTTCCTGTTTGATGAAACTTCAGTTGTGCAGAAAGCAGAAAGAAAACTGATGAATTAAAATTCTAAGCTCATTTAGTTACAGAATTCACATATCTGATGGTGACCTTTTTAATATCTTACAATAACCAACGCATATCTGCGGGGGTCTTATCAAAGCAGTTGATTCAGTGCATGTGTCATTTAATAAGGTCTGCAGTACCAGCAACAGCAGTGTTATACGAGTTATACTAAAGACCTGCAGCTACATTTCTGTGTATCCTCTTTGATTGTTATTAAATCATGCTTTACTCTGGATGTATTAATATAACACATCCCGGCTTTGTTGACTACTATGTTTATATTTGTTAAGCATTAAAGATGTTCTGATAAATGGCAGCTGTGCACCTTCTTTTTTAATCTTATTTATTATTGTTCTAAAAAAAACTATTGTTATATCGCAAAAAAATATCAAATAACCACCAAGAATTATTAATTTATTTTTGGAGGAAAAAGGCAAGAATGTTATAAACAACTTCTTTCTAGCAAACATTTTTGAACACCTTTATTTTCCAACAGTTATAAATCAATCATCCAGTTGGCGATGTTTCAGCCCAAACATGCTCTGACATGCAGTAACCTGTGATCAGTTCTTTGAGCACATTTTTAGTTGCTTGGTTAGCTCTTGGAATGTTTTCGCTCTGCTGAAGCAAATACCCTAATTGAAATAAATGATGGAAAGCACTGTTTGCACCTGACTTATGCTGTTCCTTTCAAAATAAGACTTTATACTTTATTGTTTTGCTTTCCCTTGAACTAGATTTGAACTGTGCCTCTTCATTATTTGTAGCTGCATTTTAAATAATGTAAAAATGGCGGATTTGTATTAACGCTTTGCAGTTTTTGACTTTAATGACTTTGTTGGATTTAAAGAGCTACACCTTGTGCTGTTTTTTGTTTGGAAACAATAAATGTCTTCAAAGGAGCAGCATCACTCAGGTTTTTTTTATATTTGAATGCTAAGCGTTTTATATGCCATACAGTCAAACATTATAAACTGAGTTTGGACAAATACTTAAAGCCTTGGGCTTCTCCTGACATTCATTTACCCTTACAATAACAAAACCTCTATCCTCGCAGTTTATGCCCTTCAGTGGCTGTCTCAAGCCTCAGTGTGCCTCATCCAGACTGTGGTGTCTTTGGCTGTGTGTGCTATAATACCAACCATTTCACACACACACACACACACACACACACACACACACGCGTTTATCTTTCCCTTCCTTTACTTTTTCACAAAATAAACTCAAAGGGTCAGCTAATCACGACAAAGCAATGTGCAAAGAAGAACCCAAATCAGAAAGTGTAAATAAAAGGCACTTGCATCTTATAATAGCATTTACTATGTGATGTGACTTCTACCACGCAGTTTGATTAACGATCAATTATAGCATGAATGAATGTAAAACCTAATTTTGCAAAGTAGTTAACAACAGGCCGACGATAAGTTGAGATGCAGTTGAGTAAAATTATTAAGTCTTCCTAAATGAAGACCTACAGAAGATATTTTTTCCTTTGACCTCGGGCCTCTCTGGTTACACAAGAGCGAGATAAAGGTGGTTTTGCAATGTGCCGTCAGCTGAGGGATTTTCTTCTGAATGCATCTTTGACAAGCCGAATGTGATGGAGTCTAAGGCTACATCCACACTACTTAGTTTTTGTTTCAAAACACATAAGCAAAGGTTATGATTGCCCTTCAGCAACTGATTGGAAAGACCTTAAAATCTTCTCTCACAATAGTTGAAGAACAGAAAGCGGTTGCGCCATCTGTGGGCAAATCAAGCTGTTGAAGACCATTGGGTGAGTTTACACCACACTGACAGAGATTAGATCTTGTGCATCTTACAGTACGTAAGTCTTTGAATCTCTAGCTTTCTAAAGCATATAAATAATGTGACCACAGTGCTATGGTGCTATAATCATGTTTCCAAAAAGAAAGAAAAAAACATTGTAAAGTGCTTGTTAAAATGTAACTAATTAATAGCTTTTTGGATGGTCAATAGCTTGTGCTTTATAGATCAGTAATGAGTCTTTAGTGGGAACAATATTTAGGTTGCCAGGTTGTGAAGAATTGACTAGTGTTTATGCTCTACATGCACATTTGCTAACTCTTCAAGCAATCTGGTAGCAAAAAATGTTCACAAATAAATTAGCAAAAAAATTATAATTATAAAATGTATTTGTTTTTTTTATTATTGTTTTTTTTGCATAATTTCGCTGAATATTTTTTTCCCACTTAAATCTTTTTTTATTATTATTTTTGACAATTTCCTTATTTTTCATGGCTAATGACCAGAACCTTGTCCGCTGATGACGACTGATGAGGCGTGGGCTGAACGGAAGTGACGACTTACAAATGATACAAAACATGTTGAGACGGTTTATTATCACATATTTGAGCAGTTTAACCCATTAAACGGCGAAATGTGGCGGTGCTACTTGTACATCAACGGTACCTATTGTTGCTGTGGGATTTCAAATCTTTAATATTAACTAATCAACTGTTACAAACAAATCGTTTAAACGGATAAACCTCTGTTAAACCCGCCAGATAGGTCAGGCTGTCACTACAGCATTATTGCGGAGAGTATCCGATGTTAGACTTCCGAGTTGAATATTGTGATTTCAGAATAATTCCATTTACATCTCAGATTACAGGACTGTCTTTTATTGTGAAGAACGGAGACCGGATATGGTGTTGCTGCTGTTGTTACCTTGACGTTAAATACACTCCATGCCCATGTGATGCGTGTCTAAAGTGTAGCCCGCACAGTCTACGGTCTTGAGCGGTTTACCTTTTAGTTGCAACAGTGTCAGACAGTCACCAGGCAGAGTATGTTAGTGTTTACTTATTAATTGTTGTTCAATCTGCTGGCAACACGGATTTCAAGCGTTTGCACTAATGTAACGTCAGCTTTAGTCGCTCCCGAGCTCATCTGGACTCCAGTCAGAGTAATCCAATAAATCCAACTGGTACGTAATGTTAGCTTAATGTTAACTTAAACGGGGAAGAATGCATACTTTTACACTTAAGTTGAAGAAGTATCTCGAGCAAGGGTGTTTTTTTTACGTTGCTTAATTGTTAACACGCTTGTAGAAGTCACAACACAGCCTGCTAACCTTCACATAACAGAGGCTAACACGGTTAGCCATGCTGTCCGACACCAAGGCTTTGCACTAAACGCAGATCAGCGGTTGTGATTTGTTTAGCAGTTAATTAAATAACGTTGCGTATTGTGTTTAGTAGAAATGCGTTGGTATAAGTAGGCTGTGTCAGAGAAGAGGTATTAGCTACTTTAGCTACTGTGCCAGCTAAAACAACTGCACAGGACGGGGTTTTCAGCTTATTCTCTCACCCCGAGTGCCGTCTTAATAACGTTATTGTCCTCTGACTACCCCAGGATGCTGATAGTCACTTGGGTGGGGCTTGACGCGCAGATGACTGTACACGGGAGCCGGGCCCAGTGATAAACCCAGAACCTGCACGGTGTCACTTTAACGCACCGAGGTGCTGGTTGGTTGGTGCGTAAAGCCATGACCAAGCCCGAGTCGAGGAAAAGCGGCGTGGCCGCGGTCAACGCTACCGGCAAGTGCGCAACATCCGCATCCGCCGCCGCCGCCGAGCTCGGCGACGACAACGTTTCGGTCGAGCCGGGCTGCCCGAGTCCGAGCACGCATATCAGAGCTAATGTGATGAAGCAGACTTCCAGGGAGAGCATGTATCGGAGAAACACGGAGTGTGAAGTCTATGACGACGGGACCAACACCTTTTTCTGGTGAGTGCCTTTCTGACAATGTCAACAGTGCAAAATGTCAAATACTGAAACGCTGCAGCCTCGGAGGTTATTGTTTTGTTTTCACCAGTGAGTACACTTAAAAAAAAAAAAAAAATCACAGTTCCTGCAGAAATATGAGCAACACCAAGGTTCGTTAGGCTTTCAAGGTGAACCGAAAGACAGGCCCCCAAGTGACCTCCATTAATCACAACAAATGCTGCAACCTTGTTCCAAATCTTTAAATATACATGGATTTAAATAGTAGGTCTTATGTCGAGCTGAAATGTGTCTGGGGCACATTATTCAAATGTAAAATGATAGGAAGGATTCACCAAGGTCCACCGGGGTCTCAGTTATATGAAGGGTGTTGTGCTGTTATGGATGCTTACATTGCACATCCAGGCGCAGAGCTTGTTGTTGACAAGCCAATAGCCAATATCCCAGCCTGCAGCTTCAGCAGAAAGAGATCCACGTCGGTTGCGAAGTCCAGACAGATATTCCGGCCATGCGGTAAACTGGAGGAGTGAGTTTCTGCACCCACTGACACCAATGCACACAGGCTGACGGAGCGCGTTGACGTGGGCAGGATGCAGGTGTTTGTGATGTGCCGGGCAAGGGGCTGTTCTGGGATAAGTGACATCCAGTTCTTCTGCTTTTCTTTAATGTGTAGCCACCATGGCCCTTCAACCTGTCGATCCAGGAATACTGAAGCCTGAGTAAGTGTGTGTGACTCATCTCTGCTCTGTGTGTAAAGCAAGGGGCAGTAAGAATCTGCTAAGGTGTCTGATATCTTTGACCACACAGGAGACCGGTCCTCCCCCAAGAGAAACTTTAATGAGAATATCTCATTGCTATGTTATAGCCTTAACCTCTAGATACTCGTTAGTCTAATACTGGGGGCTGCAATATGTAGATATAGTATTCAAACTTTGTAATGATCTTGACTGACGCTAGCTCAGTTGAGTCACAATTTGATCAGCTGTGGTTAATACTGCATGGGATTTTTTTGTGTTTGCTGGTAAGGAATTCGGCCTCACAGCGGTGGGTCGGCACTCCCAGTCTGTTATAATGGAGAACTGATAACAAAGAATGTAGCTGTTTGACTTGTGGTCAACTTGGAATTGTGGCCATAGTGAATCACATGGCATCCTGGATACTTATGGGCTAATATCGCACGCATGTTAAAGGGGCAAAATACATTTTATTTAACATGTGTAGCATGTTAGACCTTCCTTCTTGTCATCACAAATGTACATTCAGCAGTTTATATTTTGTCAAATATGCACTGATTCCCATCACTACCTCAAATTACACCATGATGGCCATTTTTTCTCAGAGCTGAATGTGGTTAACTCAGCTGGGAATAACGTGGGTGTCAGTCAACCACACATTAGCATTGAAATAGAGGAAGTCGGTGTGGAAGAGTTGGTTGCTTGTGATGGATTTCTGATCATGGAGTCGGTGCAGAAGCTCGTCGGCTGTGTTGCACGAGTCTCCCAAGTGTTAGAGGTATGCCAACGAGCTGTTTGTTGACGGTGGCACCGTCTCCTGGTTTGGGAAGGTAACAATGTGCAATCTGCCTCATTAGCACAGACTGGTGTTGAGAGAAGTGGTGTTGTTGTTTTTTTCACTGAGAAAAAGAGGATTAGCTTTGGATAGATCCTTAAATAGAAGTCAGCCTGATGACGCAAAATTTAGTGCTGGCACTCCACTTTGGATTTTTCCCTAAATAGCATTGCTGCCCACACGTTTCAGTTCTGAGAGTCTTCTGAGGATGCTTTGTGCATACTGACCACTGACACTGTCTTGGAAACGTTTAGTCAGAACAGAAGAAATCTTAAGCTAGAGACTCATAACAGGATTTAATGTTAAGCGTCTGGCCAGTGAACTTGTGATTCATTACAAATGGAGATCATGGAAACCAGAGGCTGCTGTGGTAAAATATATGAATCTGACAATAGCTACTGTGTTAAATAAAGCCCCGCTTTTTTTATCTGTGTAGTCACAAACTGTATTTGACGAGTGCATTTCCACCCTGCAGGACAACATTAAGCTATATAATCGGTTTCTGGACTGTCTTTGCCCGTTGCTTCTTTTACCTGGAATTCAACCTCAATCTTAGTGGTGAATTTAAGCTCAGCCTGCCTCTCGGTTGTGCCAGGCTGCTGTTGTGTGGTTGTTAGGCAAGAGAGGAGTCAGGCCCTCCCCTCTGACTTCTGCCAAACAGGTCGGGTAAGGAGGTGGAACACGGAGACGACGCTAATGACACCCGGCATGTCGTCTCCGTGACTCAGACTCTGAGCCAGAAGGGTTGGCAGAGGAGGTGACGGTCTTTAGGTTGACGGATGACGGCAGTGAGCTCCAAACAAAATATGTTTTTTTTCCTTTATTGCTATAATGAGCACCCTTAAACAATAAGACTGGCGGGTATTCGCAAACAACATCTTGACTGCGTTGTCGATCTCTGGAGAGTAGCTGTGTCCGTCAAATGTCACTGAACATGTTCGGGGACATGGTTTCATGTTTAAGCATTGCTATACTAGTGCGATGAACTGATTTAAGCTACACCTGCTGTGTTTATTGTAAAAAGCTGAACAAACATACAGCAACTGCATTCCATGAGGTTTAAAAGTTGTCTT